GCTCCGAATATAATTCAAATTAACAATTCGTTTCTACGACGTCAGCAGGTTTTATTATTTTGAAATTAATGTATTATTATTTAATAATTTTAAGCAATAATGATTTTAATAAGTAATTACGAAATATAATAATTCGTTGCACGATTTAGGCCTACTAAAACTAGGGAGCGAACGAATGAACGAACGAATGAATTAGTGGCAGCTAAGCCTAAACAAGAGAACGAATACTTAATTCGTTGCCATAATTTTGACTAAACGAAAAAAATAATTCTTAATTCGTGGCCATAATGTAGCCCTAGCATAAAAGAGAACTAGCCTATTCTAAATTCGTGGCTGGGATTTTGTCTGCATGTCATGATCGGAGCTCCGTACAACCGAATATAACCTTAGCCTAGCTGTTTATTCATTTATTATGGTACGTAGGTCTAACTAGCTTACCTTTTGCTCCACCATGTTTGCGTAGCACATCCTCGTGCTTTCTGGCAATGTGCCGCTTCAGATTCCAATATGAATCTTTACTAACTTTCACAGTCTCCCCACACTCCCTCTCAGTTTCTTCTCCCTGCTCATTCTTAACTTTGATTTTTACTTTACATTTATGTATAAGGCTTGCAACTTCGTTGAAACAATATCTGAACTCCATAACTGCTCTACTATTCTCGATCGCTACAGATTCTCGATCTCGAACAAGCAAATCACCAAAGGGCATTCTGGGTTGAGCGAGCGGCACTGAGCGTATTGAGCGGGCGGAGCGGAATCTTCAGAAAGGCACTCTGAAGGAAATATTACCACTCCGCTCCGCTCACATGCTCTGCAGTCTAGTCAACAGACTAGTTTATCCTCCACTAGTAAAACAAAGTGGATGTATGTGTTCAGGATAATATATTAGTGCAGGCTCTGGTACCCTGCTCTAACACATAAGCAAATAAATTATAGGCAATGTTTACCGAAGTGGAAGACCAAATCTTTGAACAGAACGCTGGAAAAAGTACAGGGTGGTTGAAGCCAGATTATTGGTTGCAACATCTAGGTACATGATCTGTGTAACATACGCAAAATAGGCAGTTTCAGTCTAGAGTGTGAGTGATTGTGATATCAATACAATATGAAATGTGAAACCCTGCCTGGGTAAACCCAGCTAAAGTCTTTTTTTGTGATTTAATATATTCTACATACAATTATTCTGAGTACATTCTGTGACAATGTAATTTTGATATCTTTAATATTGACTTAGTAAGACAAAGATTGAAATTATTGTTTAGGAAGCCAATGTCCGGTATTTTCTGTGCAAATTATTAAAATTTTGAGTCAATAAATTTCAACTTTTCAAATTTCAAACTCTATCATATAATCTTTCATTTACAGCTATAAACACAAATTACCTACTTTTGTCATTTTTTGACTGACTACTTTAAATGTAACCCTGTCTAATTATCGGAGCAAATAAAGACCCTGACATTTTTAGAAAGTTGGGTAGTAAAATATACTTAAATACCTTTCTAGAAAAGCCATCGATACCCCAGAAGATCACAATGTTGTATCTATTTTTAGAGAAATTGATATAAAGTTTCAACAATGAAAATCAAAGGTCAGATAATAACATTTCTGCTACAGTTTCAGGATGAGCATATGCATACCGTATGAGCTTGTGGTTGGTATCAATGTGCATCAATGCTCCTGAGCTGGGCACAGAATATGTCCTACGAACAACACACCCTAACTGTGTCAGTCTAGAAATAATGCCTGCACTATCAACTCGGTGCATGGATGCCCGGATCCTTTCCCACTGCACTCTATGCCCCATAGCCTGCAGCAAACCCTTCACCATTCTATATCCAGCATAAGGGTGTCTGGATTTTACTGTTGACACTAATGCATCCAGCTCCTCATCCAAAACACTACTGTAATGTGTCTCTCACTGCCAACCCTATTTCTGACATTCTCCGTTGTATGGTCCTTGTGCTCACTCCTAGCAATTTTGCAATGCAGGGCACTGGTAGAGACATGGCAATTAGATCCCCAAGACGTTCTTCTGGTAACAGTACTTTTGGCCGCCCAACCTTGCCATATTCAAAGTTCACAGTGTTGCGAGTACACTGTTGGCTGTGGTTAATCTCACCAATAATCCGAATAACCTCTCAGAGTCCCTCCATTACAGCATGTGGAACATTTTCCTGACTTGAGAGTGCATTTAAAAAAACTAACTCCTGGGTACAGGTAAACTCCAAAAAGTCAAAATCAATTGGTGGTCGATTAAGCAGATGGAACAGCCGTGAATGGAGCCTATCCAATATGGCATCCATCAACACTTCCTTAAAAGACATTAAAAAGTTAATTCTCAGAGATATTAACAGTTTTAATTACAGAATGTAGCGTCCATTCAGTGGTGTAAGCAGATATATGATCTACATTTCTACATAAATGCTATACCAGCCCTTATGGTTTTACTACAGTTAAGCCAATGGTAATCAATAAGCCATAAAACATGGTTACTACACATTTACTATAAAAAACATGGTTATTATCCTGGCTGACTATAGCCCCGTCAGAATTTTTAATAGCCCCGGTTTAGCCCCATTTCTTTATGAAGTAACTCTGACGTCATCAATATCATTTATTTTCGTAGCACCCCCACATATTGGTCTAGCCCCCCCTTAGCACTGGTAGAGAAATAATTCTGGCGCCGTGCCTGCGTTTGTGTGTTTTTACTACAGTAAAAACAACGGGGTTTTTTTATGCATTTTCTCTTTTGCAATATTCCTTATAATGAAACGGAATGTGTTTGCTAGGGAGCAGAACAATTTCAGGAGTTTTGTTAAACCTGTCTAAATTACTCTGCCCTTATGCTGAGAACGCTGAAAAGCTGTGAAGAACTTGTGCTTATACATCGAGCATATCAATAGAATGCCATATGAATTCAGCGGGGCTCCTAAAATCATACCCCCCTATATTAAATGCTCATTATTGAATCTAAACACTTGTGCTTTTTTGCAGGTATTTTACAGGACCAGATGTGTCTCCACAATGAGTTTTATGGGTATCTGACTGCCATTGTGGTGAATGGTTTGCTATATCAGGACTCCATTATTTTTTTCTAACCTGAACAAATTAGTTTGTTGGATCGAACCTCAGTATTCGACTGGGATGAGACATTTCCGCTGGTCCATAAAGTTTCAGCCATTCTGCCATACTTACGTCACTTGTATTTTCAGTACTTTCAGTACTCTATCTTTAGCATTGCAG